TCTCTCTCTCTCTCTCTCTCTCTCTCTCTCTCTCTCTCTCTCTCTCTCTCTCTCGCTCGCTCGCTCGCTCTTTGCAGGGAGGCTTCATCGTCCCTTCGTGACGATGTTCCCTTCTACGGCCAGCTCCTGGCGATCACGGTGGTCGGAGCGGCGCTGGTCAAGTGGGGGGAGCTCTACCTCGACTTCCCGTTCGAACCGTCGTACGCCGCGGCCGCCGCGTTAATCCTTGGGCCAACCGCCCTCAACGCCAAGAAGTGGGCGGATAGGAGCAAGGATCCCTCCGCTGCGATCGAGGGCATCATCTGATCAGGGGGGTTTGCCCTCAACGCTAGGAAAGAGGGTAGATAGGTGCAATGAACGCTCGGTTGCAATCGAAAGCGCCATCTGCTCGTGCGAGGGGGGGCATGCCCTCAATGCCTTTCAAGTGGGCAGACAAGAGCAAAGATCCCTCAGCTCGAATCGAAAACATCATCTGATAGGGGCCAAACCGTGTTTTCGCATCCAGTGTCTCACACCATGCAGTTCACGTTTGTCAACGTTGATGTTGTGTTTTGTGTGGGTGACCGTAGGCGTAAACCTGTGGTTCCACACGATCGGCGTTGTATGTAACCGTCGCGGTGTATATCGGAACGAATGCCTCCATTAGAAACCCACACGTCTGGTCGCGGACTGGACTGAATTGGGTTGGACGGTGTACGGGTATATCGAATCACATGATTCTGACGACCGATTGACGGGATGGAGTCGACGTTTGACGACGCGCGCCACCGTATGACCTCCTCATCTATGAAGAAGCTGCCCCAGCTGCAGTCGAGAGCATCGTTGTGCATGGGGCACAAAATTATTCTCTCCAGTCGTGCCTTGAGGGCCGCGAAGCTTCGTTCGGTCGGAAAGGTTGATTTGTGTCTCAAGCGAGGAGGACTGGTGAGGCCTTGCCTCCAGATTCGGGTTTTTGTCCCAAAGCCCTGCGAAAAAGGCGGAGTGATGAGCGCGAACGCCAACACGGGGGGCGGTTCTGCTGGGGGTGACGTTAGCCTAGACTTGAAATTTTGTATTGAGGGCATGTAGACTTGGGCAGGAGAGGTCACAACTCGGAGCGGAGCATATTCCTCATTTCGCCATCGGAACCACGATCATGTGAGACGGAACCCCTTGTTGTGTCCACCATACGTTTACACAGGATCTGTTGTAGTCGAATTTTAATGTTTCTTGGTTGACACGACGGATATCTTGCCGTAATCCAAAACATGCGGCCGGTTCCTAGGATGTCAATCGACCGATAGCTAACTTCCTTTCTGGGGGGGATGGTCCTCGCGGCGCGTGAACAGTGGACAGCTCAAAGGGTGAATATTCCTCGAGAAGGACGTAGAGGCTAGTTGATGTTCTAAGGCGAGCAAAGAAGTTATTTTCGTGTTGGTTGTTCCTCTCATGTACCTGCAGACGGAACCACGGGCCGACCGAATAGCGCTTACATAACTCCGATCCTGCGTAGGATTGGTTTGTGCACCCCCCCCCGAAAAAATGTATCTTACTTTACGGTCGTCGGCACTGTTTCGTGTGACACACACGCGCTCCTAGGGCGGCGGGGAGACACGTTCATGTTCTCGTCTTTCGTCTCGCAACGACAAAAAGTTACGTCTTCCGAGCCCACAACCGTTGGCTGCTTGTGTTGATTGTTTCTTGAGATGTCCGCCTGCGCCCCACAGCGGTTGCTACCCCGCGAGGGGCACATCAGTCTACCGTAGTACTGTACGTGACGCAAGATTACACACCCCCTGAAGCTGTTTTCAAAGCTCGATTTCTCCACAACAGAATGACTGGCACCGCCGAAAATAGCGGCGTTGAAAGCGTCTCGTCGAGAGCTTTCCGACGTCGTGTCGATTCGTTTAAGCGTCCTCTTCATCGTACAGTAATCGAGCTTTGCAAATCGGTCCAGGGAGTGTGCTATGTTGTGTCGTATACGGTGGCTGTACGTACGGATGAAACAGAGACGATACAAGAGGGCGTATCAATTTTGAAACTTGGCTAGAAAATAAAGAGCTGGCTCTTCCTTCGCCACCCTCGTTCCAACGGCGGTGAGAGTTGCAACGTAACATCTATGTAGTAAGACTCATCGCTATTTCACGCTGGCCTTCTGCCGTTTTTCTAGCCCGTGAACTAGGTAAATGCTGAGAAGGGTACACACCGACCCCGACCGTCGGGCGTAGTACCTGGAGTGTCCAAAAACGTTTACCATCCATCCGAAACTACACGAAAGCAAGCATGAACGAACCCAGCTGCAAACAACCCTCTTCCAACCTACCTAGTGCTCGCTCAAGTAGCCTAACCCTCCATCATGAAAATGCACACGATGCATGTACGGATGGCGCCCGCACTTAAGAACCTCTATTATAGTTTCGGCCGAGGCTGGGGTTCTTATTTTGCTGATCATCCTCTTGTGGGCTACAAATGGCCGCTATATAGGTTTTAGTGTGGGGTTCTTAACCGAGCTCACAAATGGTGCTCAAGTTCTTAGCTTCTGATTTCTTGCGAGTCTCAATTTCTCAACTGCAAGGTTCTTAAGTGCGGGCACTATCTGTAGTACTACACCTTACGACAATAACGCGTGTGCTCTTGACACTGAATCTATATTGTGCTTCGCCGGATCTGGCGCTCTTAAATCGCGCCGCTTCCGGCGGCGAAAGTCGGGGACCATGCCACACACGCTCGGGATTTAATATTCCACACTCGCGGGAGAACTGAAGGCTCTCAACGCACGTCTGAGATGTGCCATCTATGCACTCCCGACACTCGAGAGGGGGGGGGGGGGGTACTCATGGTAGTGCATGCCGTAGTCGTTAGATCACTGACCTCGCATCCCTACAAAGCCGGGGCGGAGCACGCCGGGTTCTCACCGGACCAGGCTCTCACATCACCAAGCGCGAAGCGCCGTGAGATATTCGGCGAGTCGCATGAAGGGTGCGCTGCATCCTGCTAAGGGTTTTCGGCATCTGTGCTTACTTCCTTGCTACGGATGACAGCTGCGTATGACTTTAATTATTTTCTGGTGCTTTCACTTCTAGAGACAGTTATAAGCACTGCTGTGTAACTGCCTCGAGGGTGCGTGACCATTTTAACACAATGTGGTGCGATCATCCCCCTTGCGCGGAGGGGGGGGGGGGGGGGGGGGGGGGGGTTCAGTATCATGCACGGCTTATTTTTTCGTTCATCACTGGTACAGAACAGGGAAAGCCGGGGTGCAGACAAGCACAAAGCCGCACACAGCAGTACTGCTGCTCTAACTTGGTTGTTACGGCGCTCAAATGGCGACAGCAGTACGGCGGTAGAGCCTTTGCGCGACTGCTGTTGTGCTTCTTCTTCACGTGCCCCGCACGCAGGTGTTGGGTATGACTCGTCACGCTCGGCGGAAAACAATCCCGTTGCCTCCCCCCGCACAAGTCCAGGGTAGGTAGACACAGCACCGTCGGTGACATGACGTAGGATACCACACCCCTGGTGCTATTTTCCGTGCTCGACTACCCCGCGACCCCATGGGTGTCTACATCAATTCGGCACGGTTATCGGGAAGTTCTCAACGAGACCGCGGTGCCAACGCCATCATTTTCGGCGCCGTCACACGTTCCTGCCGTGAAGCAGTCTGGCATTGAAAACCGGTCCAACAATGGATGCGATACAGTCATACTCCGTCTGTGGCGTACGGCACATAGACCTCGTGCCGCTAGGCACACCGCCGGCATGCCCAAACGGCCACCGAATCGTTTGATACACAGCGGGAGATGACCTCTCCCTCCGCCGCCCAAGACACAGCGTCAGAGACACAAACCATCCACCGCCCAGTCGCACCAACCAAGCCACAAAGTATTGACCACCACACGCGCACAACACACGACGACTCGCCCCCCCCCCCCCCCACACAACCTGGCCTACTACAAGGCAGGACCAGAACTCCTCGCAGTTCCTCTAATCCCCGTACCGGGGAGCTGGTGCACGCCGCCCCCTGCTGCGGCGTACGTCGCCACCCTCCGCCACTGCGCTCTGGTCGAGGACGGCGGTCCGACTAACCTCGGCGTCGTCTCCAGCGCCAACTGCAGGTGTCCCGGCGTCAAGACGCCTCCTCGGCTGGCCTCCCCTACGACTTCCCGTGCCGCTGGTGCTGGTGCTGGTGCCGGTGACGGCGAGCTCATCAAGGTTGAGGCTGCTGTTGGCGTGGTGGTCACTGGCGAAGCCGCCGCCACTTGCTTCTTTACACCGCCTGTTGGTGGTGCTACCGCCCCGTTGCTGGCCTTGGAAGGGTTTACCGCCGGAGGCATGCCTGCAACGGGAAGGGAACCAACCGGCCGGGGGCACAGAAAGAGCAGAATGGGATGGACGTGAACACGAGGGGTACAAGGTTGTGGAAGATACGACGCCCAATACTGAACCGCGATGTGGAGTGTCCGATGAGACAACGCTGAAAAGTGCGTGGGCTTGTGGCATCAACCCTCTCCCCCGGACTCCTCCGCCCGCTTCGTTCTGACAAGATTCCAAGGGGGGGGGAGGCAGACCAAAGGCCGTGCTCCGAAGAACGTACATACCGTCCTGCGTGCACAGGATCGAACACTTGATGCGTGAAGTTAGTTGTTTTCCACCATTGGGACACACAAATGCACACACGGAACCAAAGCCAAGACATGACAGTGTAGTTGCACCTCGCAAGCCCGCCGTCACCACCACTTCCCCCCCCCGCCGCCCATCCCGCGCGTTGACGAGACAAGCCTCTATGATTCGCCGCAGGTATTCCTGGGGCGTCCGCAGGCAGGGACGGACGGGAAGATCAAAGAGAACGGCAGCGGGCGGTGTGCGTGGTCGGACTCATGAAAACGAGCGAAGTCTAGCTGCGAGTCCACTGAAGCATGGGGGAAAGGTCCTAAATAGGACCCGGAGCGCGACTAGGTACCCCCGCGACAGGACAGATAAGATATGAAAACATGCTTGAACCACGTTTGGCAAAGTAGGAAGGAACGATTAACCATCGGCGCCAAAAAAGCAACCATCGGTACTTTTTTCAAAATGTATATTTTTTATCAGTCTTGTGGGAACAATGCTCCGTTCTCTCGAAGAATGCATGGTCAAACAACTACAATTATGACATGCTAAACATGAGCGTTCCTCCCCCTCCCCCGCAACGCTTCTCGCTTCTTCTTTCTTCGTTCTCGACTCTGCCATACACGCCTTCTCTCGGCGCCCCGGCTCCTCCTACTCCCTCACCTTAACGCCTGCCGTCATGACCCGACACACTTCGTGCGAGACCTTCATCTTCTGCGACGCCGTTACCGCCTGCAGGAATGGGGCCAACGCTCGGGCCCCCGGGACCCGCTGAGACCGGTGGCTGGGCGAAAGCTGTTCCGCCGCCGCCCTCGCCGGCGCCTGCTCCAACGCCGGCGCCGCCCCTTTGATCGAAGCGACAGCGCGCGCGCGGGGGGGGGGGATCTCACTTGTCATTGATAATGGCTCTCAAGTTTATAGAGTTGGAAGTGCGTTTTGGCCGGTGTGGTGGTTCTGGTACGACAACGGGTGGCCATCTCGTCAAAGGGTTGACGTGACGTGGCGAAGGGCTTAGGTAGAAATTCCAACTACGCGCGCTCGGTCTTCGTGCATGTACTCAAGACGGGACACAACCATCCCCCAACAGTGCCGCGAAAATTAGTAGGAAACAACGTAGCCCCATCTCCCTCCCATATGGTCACGCCACACACACATCGAGACCCCAACCCATTTCGCGACGCCCCCTCCCCCCCCAAAAAGATGTACAACACTGCTGTCCCTGCGTACGGACGGACCAAGTCTAAACTCACCGGCACAATGCAACGCCCCGTTGGCTGCCGAGCCACCGCCACCGGCCGCCGCCGCCGCTACCTCACTCTCTGTCTTCAGATACTTCGCATCTCTCTCGTTGGCGTAGCAGCCCGTCGAGTCAGTCTCTTGCGACAGCGGCGCAGGCCTCTTGACGCCCCGCGAGCTGCTCCGTTCGAGTCTCCCCGAGCCCCATTCTTCTCGCGACGACCAGGGGTGCCACAAGTCCGAGCCTGTACCGAAGGACGCTTCTATCTCGTCTTCTAGCAGCTGCGCGTCCCTCGACAGCAGCTCCGCCTCAACGAGGCAGTCCACCCCTCCCCTCTCCCCCCGAGGTATTCGGTCGTCGTCTCTTCGGCGTTCTCCCTCCGGGGATGACACCGCATCATCCCCTGCCGAGGGCGTAACGGCAGCTGTCAACCCGCTCCTCGCTGCCGTCGCCTCCAGCTTTGCCACGCCTGGTGCCTGCGTCGCCGGCTTCTCCACGCTGCCGTACTCGGTTTTCAGGGGTGCCGCAGACAAGCTGCCGCCGTCGACGGCGTATCCCTCCGCGTTCAACAGGAGTCCCTCCGCCCGCTTCCCTTGGAAAGGCAACGACGCGGCGGCGGCGGCGTTGGACAGTCCGCTATTTCCGCACGGCGGCGAGCTTCCCGAGCTGCCGCCGTTCAGAACGGGGACGGGGCGACGGGGTATCGCTGGCGGCGGCGGCGGCGGCTTCTCCGCTGTCGCGGTAGAGGCGGCCGGGGGCACCGCCGCCGTCGTGTGCACCACCTTCCCGCGGAAGCTCGCGGGAACCTGGGACACGAGGTCCGCCGGGAGGTAGCGGCACCGGGCGTTGTTGAGCAGGCACAGGATGAGCTCGTTGTGTAGGTGCAGGTTGTCCGCGCCCAGAGACGCGTCCAGGGCTTCGTCCAAACCGCCGCGGGAGAGCCATCCGTGCATGAAGTCACGCAGCGCCGACCAGTAAGTCTCGAACGCGCTGTGGTGCGGTTGGTAGTGTTTCGTTGCATGCAGGCGTGGAGGGGAAGGACTTGGTAAGATAATTCTTTTTTCAGGCGGGGGGGTTCAATGTTCTGGGTACAAACTTCTGCTGTTCGACGCTGAGTATTTAGTGATAAGTCTGCAGTGCCGACCAGTACGTCTCGAACGCGCTGTGGTGCGGTGGGATTTTTCGTTACTTGCGCTCAGGCGTGGAGGGAGGGCGAACTCACGAGTGATTTGCAGGGGTGAGTCCGCATTAATACCTCTCACTACAGTAATCATTTATCTTTGCAAATATCATGTTGCCAGCTTGAGCGATCCTTCTGAGGAAGGAGCACTGTACTAAAAATCGCTGGGTCTATGATCAGGACACACGGACGTACACTTTGGTCTCATAGAGTAGGCGTGGTCAGCTTAAAACTCGGGACCGCATGCGGTGAGAGAGTTACGCCGCGCGTAAATATCTTGTAAGCGGTGAGGTGTGATACTCGCTGCGTGGTGCCTGTGTACATACGGATAGATATATGCAGCGTTGAATCTGCCGCTGTACTGGGCACTTCGTTGCGACACCGCAAGCAGGTCTGACGCAACATCATGTGGTGAACGCACGAAGCGACATGTCTGGGTGTGGGTGGTCATGCCCTAGGGTGCAGGTCAGAAGTCGGCGAGCGACATGCATAGAATGGTTGGGGGCTTCTGAAATGCCCGCAGAATGTGATGTCTACGATACAATGTCCGACAGCAGTACACGCCGGGAAGTCATCGTGATAGACTACAGCAGTAAGTGCGGAGCAAGGACATACCGCAGCACCGCAGCCGGTTCCAAACCAGCAACAAACAGCTTGGCGTACCTCTTCCTACCTCCGGTACAACGGCTTAAAAGAGCAGCAGCGCTGTGTCTTGTCGGCTGTATGCAGAAACATCACATGATGGCGACGACGTCGCAAAGAAATTGAATCGGAAGAGAAGTGGAAAAAATGGAAAGGGGGGGGGAAGTTGCTGTTGCACACGCGAATCAACCATTGCAGCACCCACCGTTGCCCATTCGCCTTTGCCACGGCCTCAAAGATCTTCCACTTCAATGAACCTGGGTCCTGGTAGAGGTGTTCATCGGTAACTGCGTTCTGGCCACCCCCGGTGCCTCCGGTCTCCGCTGCTGCTAGCTCCGCTGCGACAGCTTCAGCCATGCTGACCCCATGATCAGCACTACTGCCGGTGTTGCTACTTCTCGGAACTGTCGGCTGTTCTACTTTCACCAGCCGGTCAGAATTTTTGCCTATGATTATCCCTGGCGAAGGCGAATTGACCCCGTCCATGGTACACGAAATTGACAAACCCAGAGAAAGCTGCTCGCTGCTCCCTGGATGCTCTGCAGCGGACTGTTGGCGATTGCCCGGGGGCACGCTGCTGCCATGATTAATGTGATTGATAGGTATAGGAATATAGGTGAATATCGATCGCGGACCCCCTTTCCTGCCTTTCGCAGCTGGGGACCGTTCCCAAGATCGCTCCGTGCCAGGTTGCATCTTTTCGTCGACGCGTTCCAAGCAGTACCGCCCCAGCCCATCGGTGCCCCACAGCCAATCGAACCAATCTCAGCAACCACCCTTTCTATTTTCAAAAACGATCGCCGGTCGAGCCTCGGGTCTATCGGACATTGGCACAGGGGTGGGGCACTCAGCAACGTTTGCGTCAAAGCCAGTCAAACCACAGCCCACCGCACGACAAGTTACTAGGCCAACCCCTGCAAGGTCTCCAACTATCTACCGCGTTGATCCCTGCTGCTGCCCCAATGGCGACCCGCGCTCAGTTCGAGAACTCCAACGAGATCGGCGTGTTCTCCAAGCTCACCAACAGCTACGCGCTCTGCTCCATCGGCGGCAGCGAGAACTTCTACAGCGTCTTCGAGTCGGAGCTGGCGGATCATATTCCAGTTGTTCACACCAGCATAGCGGGGTGCCGCTTTGTGGGGCGGGTGTGCGTAGGTGAGGAGGCTGCTGCTACACGGACAGTGGGGGCGGCGGGGAGCCGAAGATAGGGAGAGAAAATGACGGCGTGGTCGTAGTAGGCGGTCGGCCGTTGACGGCTTTGCGGAGATTGTGTGCATCCTCACTGCCGTACACGTAACGCAAAGTGGTGTTTGGTGGCTGTTGAACAGCGCTGGAAACTTGACAGACAGCGAGCGCTAGATGGTAGATGGCACTTCCTGGCAGTGGACACTTTGAAGTTTTGAAACTCGTGTAAAATCACTTTGTAAAATTACAATTTGTTCGCCAATCTTCCGAACGTAGTGCGGCCATCGCGCTGGACTGAAGAAGAGCCTGGCGTAACTTGGGGGTGCTGTGCACGGTTTAGACCAATGCCAGATCTACTGCTGCAAGCAGTGTAATATTCGACACCTCGCGAGGACAACCATTACCAGTGCATATATGTACGATTCCTCAGCACCACGCGTGATCCGTAAGGATTTTCTGTGCCGCTTTAGGCCACTTGTTACGCTGTCTCTTTTTGGGCTGTCCCTTTACTCAAAAAGGGACAAAGTTGCCCAAAAAGGGACAGGATGGGGTGATCTTTTTTCGCTGTTCCTTTTCGGGAGGTTCAAAAACGCAAAAAAAGACCACGTAACAAGTGGTTTTTGGTCAGTTGTCCCTTTTTGAGAAAAGGGACAGCCCAAAGAGAAGACAGCGTAACAAGTGGCCTTAACGGCTGAGCCCATTAGACTATATTGCTTTCGCCATGTATCGCACTTAGCTTTCAGTATGAAAATATCCGAGACTCTAAGGTCTGCTGTTGTCCCTCCCCCCCCCCCCCCTTTCCCCCCCCCCCCT